GTGGAGACGTGCAGTTGAAGCCCTATGTTCCACTAGGAACCCAAAGGAACAATAATAATAATAATGATTGTAGACGGCAGCGTATCTAGATACATCTGATAGCTTTTCTTAACATTCTCAGTATAAACTGTCACTATCTAGGACATAGAGCTAACTACCTGCAGTCTTTAATCCTTCATTCATACCTTCTCATTGTAAAATGTATTCTTGCACCTTTCTTAATTGGCTTTCAACTGAATATCGTGCGTTTATCCAGTGAGATAAAGAAAATAAATATTACAAGGGCATGGTGTGGGCTTCAGGTTAGACGACGTTATGTCGCGCGATCTACTACCAATTACTATATACCGTATGAAGAGAATATATTATACAATAAATTCTCTTGGGAGTTCTGTACACTTTGTAAAAACTGTCCAGAACAGAACTATTACTATCTGTTGTAACATTTTTAATTACAAAATACTCTTGTTAACTATTTTTTCCCTTTCATCCTTCCTCCTTCTTTGCTTTACACACTTCTACTTCCTCATAAGCCTGAAACTACTGTGGCTTTTGTAAATCTTATTACATTGTTTTGAATGATTTCAGTGCCACTTATATGTTATATCAATTTGCATCCTTGCAGTTCTCACTCTAATTTCGAATGAGACTCTCAGAAGACATATACGCCAGGAAAATACCAATGTTTTTGGCTATATAATCTCAGTGAGCCATTATAAAGTCCTTGTATTCATTAACTCGCAAAGATGGCATTTTAAGAAGAAAACACTCCCTTTATCTTCCACGAAGCAGTTCTTCGTGGACAACAGGTTGAACGAATTTCTTTCTTGTTGACATAGCGTATTACGTAAATGTCATTAATGACACAGTGCTTTCTTTTTTTACATAATCTTGAATTTATACTAATGTGGAATTATACGTAAACAGCTGTTAGTACTGGGTTTTTTTCCCACTTAAGTTATTAATTAGTGTTTCGTAATTAATGAACAAAATGGAATATCACTTGTAGATCGGGCTGACTTGCATTTGTTTTGCTGTAAATAATTAATTACATAAACAGGAAAATTACTACGATTGGCCCCTTGAACATAAATACGTATATATATATATATACATATGCGCGTGTGATTAAGAGGAATTTGTACTTACCGAGGCATAAAAAAATTAAAAAAAACCAAGTTATTTAGTTTCTAGAAAAGCCTTCACAGTGTATAATTATGCGATACAGAATAACTTTAGTACAGTTGTTCTATGTAAAGTGAATTGTAAATAATAAATTCCAATTAACAGTGTGACTTGGATAGGGATATAAGTAATAAAAAGCGAAATATTGACGTTTATTTAGGAAATACAAACATCTGTTTATCATTATTATTCTCTCAGTTTCCGGGTGGAACGCAAGGATTGAGCTGTATGTAAGTCTCCATTTCATTCCATTCTCTGCGGTTTTCTTTTAGCAGGCTTCATACATGATTACCAATAAGCTTTCATTTCCCCCTAACATGATCTCCTCAAACAAACTGCAGACCTTCATTGACAGTCGTCTTCGCTCAATAATCAAGATCAGATGGCCAGCCAGAGATATCTGGGAGCGATACAACCAGGAACTAATTGTGAAACAAATAGGCAGGAAGAAATGGAGATGGACTGGCCATACTCTGAGGAAACCATCAAGTGACATCACACGCCAGGCCATCGCTAGAGTGGAACCCAAAAAGGAAGCGGCGAGTTGGTCGTCAGTGTGAGGGTGACTTGGAGGAGGTCATGTGAAGGGGAGATGAAAACGTGTGGGCAGACTTGGAGCCAGGTGTAAACTCTAGCAGAGAACCGAACGCAACGGAGACGCACGGCTGAAGCCCTATGTTCCTGTAGGAATTAAAGGAAACAATAATAATAATGATACCATTCCAAGTGTACTTGAAGGCGTGGTGCGTGGTGTCATTCAAATGTCTCTTCAGCGTATGCCAAGTCCATCTTCAATTCATTCCGCATATTTGTTGGGAGATAGGTTTTTGATTGGCTAGCTGAAAGGCTTTCGTGTTATTTCAGTATGGATCAAAAGAATTTTTTGATGACAGTCTGTAGCACAATGGTTAGGACTCTCGCCGACCATGCACATGGTCCGGGGTTCAACCCCCTGCCGACGCACACACCATATCTATGGTCGGCCTGCAAAATTTGGGCTACCGATATCCATGCTGAAAATTCCATACTTGTACAGTAAATATGGTGTGGCATCAAGCTGTAATCAAAATAAAATAAAATAAATAAATAGCAACCTCTTGGAAATACTTTTCATGACTCATGCCCTAAGTACCTGAGTTGTACAGAGGCTGTTCTTTTGAAGTTTGACAAAGTTGTACTTCTTTCAATTAGTAATTACTCTTCCTTTCTTCTAAACATTCTTTAATTGTGGTGTGAGCGTACTCACTGTGATCTCAGGATTCTGATCAATTCTGCTCGGTCTTTCTGCTTTTATGTGGCTTTGTGGTACTCAAAACTTCCACTTTTGTCAGATGATTAGTGTGGACGAGCAGTTCTCTGGCTAATGGTGTTATTACTGGAGGGGTTGCAGAGGTTGGTCTCATTCAGGATTCCCTTGAAATTACCAGTCCAGCTGTTGCAGTAGGAAATGTTGTTTACGCAATGCCAAAAACTTCAGACTGCTAGTTATGAACTTCTAAAACATTATATGTCCAAATCTTGGGGGGCAGATACCCAAAACTAGTGTTGCACACAAACATATTTTAACCTAATCCTATTTATGACGTAGTGAATTATTCAAACTAAGTTTTACAGTTTAATCACGGATTGATGTTACTTAGGGAGCCACTAAAAACCAGGAGTAATAGACAGCTCTTCCACTCTAGTTTCGGATTCTTCAGCACCACTCACTGACCGATGTTTGAACCCCCGAACTCCAGGTTACGAGACAAGCCTGCAGACCACTCAGCCACTGTCAATTACTCCTCGATTTTTAATCTTTCCTCAACTGATATCGATCTGCGATCAAACTTGAAAAAGAGCGAACCCCTACGGACTAACTCTTGAGAATTAATCTGATGCACGTTGTTGAATGGTTATAGGACAAAGTTGCTTAGAGTTCTGCTTAGAAGTCCTGACCATTGGTCTCAACCAGGTAAGGCGTGAGGACAAACACTCACTGATGACATTGGCTGGTTTTGGCGCTAACGTCACGAATTGGTAGAAGTTCCGGTAGCTGAATGGTCTACGGCTTTGCTTTGTGACTAGAAAGTCCTGAGTTCTCACCCTAGTAGGTGACTGCTGATAAAGAGTTCAAACAAGGACGAAGTGCTTGTCCTTCGTTCCATAAAAATCAACTTGTTTATGACAGTTTTAGTTCATCACACTTAAAAAAGTCACCAGAAAATTTCATCATATAAATTTCAGTTTAAAATATCTAGTGAATCACAAGAAGCGCAACCATTTTATTGTAGGATATTTTCTTTTTTTAATCGTTAAGAGTTCAGTCACATATTTTGCACTTCACTATTTCAAAGACCTATGAAAACCTGAACATGTTCTACACCTATATACTAATATGTGTCTATGAGCGTTGATCTTGAATCGTAAACACTGCATAATGTCACACAGTATCTAAATCCAGTACACTTGAAATGTTAAGAATCACTGGCTGGAGACTATCGGTGATATTTTGTGATACCTCATATCCACTAAACCATCATGTTCCATCTCTTGTGCATTTATACTTATTTTAGTTCCTCATAATTTACCTTTTTTTCTCTTTTTGTCTACCTCGATGTAGTAAATAGAGTGTGGCAACTTGAACTGCTGCACTTCTTTGCTATGTTCTATGTTAAAACTTATTTACTTAATCAGTCAGTTCAGTTGGACGAACGTAAAGAATGCAAGTTTTTTTTATACATTTCTGAGTGATGTAAAGATATCTACCGGTAGTCTTTCTAAAAACACTACAATCTTACTACTGGATGTCATAATATATTTAAAATGCAATGTTCACCGATTGTTTTGATGATATTAAATAGTCGGAGGCAATCGGCAGGAAGCCTTGGCCTACCTGGGTTTCGTGCTAGTTGGCACTCACCAGTCACCAAGGCGTATCTGCTACCTTGAAGCAACTCATGTCCCTTCTGAGATTCAAACCCGCGTCACTCAGTGATAACTGCAGTCAGAGACGTTACCTCTGAGCTATTCGTGCTCGCGATTTACCTCCAGGAGGACTGTTTTGGATACTTTGATTGGACACTATTAACTAGTGTGATGTGTCTAGTCCTTTCTTTGGTTCAGACTGAGTTCTATCAATCAGGTTTGCAATGTGGTCACCCGACTGACAGAATTCATTCTGCACCAAAGAAAGGACTAGACACATCCCACTAGTTACTAGTTTTCAACCGAAGTTCACCAGTTGTTTTTTTCAAATGCGAACTTTCTTGATTTCTCAACTTCTACCTTGAGCCTCGGTGGGAACATCATCACTCACAGCGGAATGCAGGTACATCCAGATGACAAGTCTTAAGTAAGACGAAGTGCGTATCCTGGATTCCACTGCTAGTCGCTATCCACTAGTTAACTTCTACCTAACCTCTTGTGTTATTTAAGGATTACATACAATCTAGTCTACCTTCACTCAACTGATCTGTAAGCTAAAGTCATAAGAAATCACAAGGATGACATGGTTATCACTCATAATACTACTGACCATAAGATAATTGAAACGAACCTCCTATGACCATGTATGTTTGAACTAAATATGTAGTTTCCTCATACATAACTAATTGTGGATAACATCGAAATCCACTCAATAAAATCCACTTGAGAATCGATTACATTGTAACCTGTAATAGTGTACTTACTAATGTACTAATAATAAAAATAATAAAAGTAATACCTTCACTAACCTTAATTACATCATTGTGAAAAAGAATGATTGGTTAATTAAATGTTGTGCTTATTGGTCTCCTTGAATTATCCAATCAGAGAATTTCTCTGATCATACTGTAACGTATCGCGTTTGGTTTTTCTTTTGAAAAAGTGAATCCATTTTGAATATCCTAACAATGTTGTTATTATGTATGCGAAATTGAGTGTTTAATTCATTCTTTTATTGTTGAACAGAGTTCATTTCAAGCAGGAATTATATGATACATAATGATGACAATGATGATGATTACGATGTAGATGGATTGAACAATGTTTACGAATAAATTTCTCATTATATGGACATTTATTTTTGCTATAATCATAATCAATGATTCGTCGAATGGAATTACTTCAGACGTTTATAAAACCAACTCACCAGTACTAAATTTATCAGAAACTTTAATTTACAATGTAACTAATATCTCTACGGAATCAAATCGTACATATAGATATCTCTATCATAATCTTAAAGCTTATTTTCTTAAATGGTATCTACCTATGGTGATAATTTTAGGCGTTGTTGGCACTGTGTTCTGTTTAGTCTTTCTATTCTTATCCAGATTATTTCCACAAAATATGTTGATATGGTTGGTCAGTATATGCTTCGGTGACTTTTTTATCCTCTCATTAGAGGGTATATGGATGCTGTTAAAAGTATGGTATAATTATGATATACGTGATATTAATAATTTTATTTGCATAGTGCATACAAGTCTGTCGAATTATTTTTTCTATTGGTCAGCTTATATGCAGACTATGCTATCATTACAAAGAGCTTATCTGATTATCAGACCATTACGAGCTAGAAATAGTGGTCCAAATATGGTTTGGCTTTTCAGATTATGGTCAATAATATCTATAGGTCTAGTGCTACCGATTTTACCATATCCAATATACTGGCGTGTGATTAACAATGATTGTGATCCTACTAGCAGAGAGTTGTTTCATGTGACTACACTGAATGATTTCATTATCTGGGGTTTAATTCCGCTAATCGGGATGACAACATCTACAGTTATCATATGCTGGAATATATTTCGACTGAGAAAGTGTTTTCGGATAGCTACATCAGCAGTTTACCTACATGAACAGGAAAGTCAACAACAACAACAGCAACAGCGGAAGTCAAGAGAAAACAGATTCAGTACGATGATTTATCCATATAAACAAAGTAATTTAATTGGAAACTGTCTGAGACGTTCGAATTCCCTGTCAATTTCTGAATCTGCACTTTATATGACAACTAAAAATCAGTATGAAGTGCCACCAAGAATTTATAAACCCGTGTCCATTCATGATATTATACGTCAAACAGCGAAATGTAGTAGTACAATTACAAATTCTAGAATACAAAACAGAATAATAAATTCGCTACCGTCTCAAAAACACTTTACAACTAAAGGTAAAACACTGTCCGCTGAACAACTCACAATTGGCATCAAATCAAACAGTTTATCTGGTTATCGTCATGGTGCTGCAGATAATGCAGGACATGTGACACGACTTCTTATTTGTATGAATATCTGGTATATGGCTAGTACATATCCACTTATTATTTATTTAATGTTATTAAATTTTTTATTATGCAATGTTGATCAAGATGTACACAAATTTATTTATTATTTATCAAGAAGTTTATGCTTTTTAAATGCTTGTTCAAATTGGATATTTTATTGTGCATCAGGACGTTTATTTCGATCACGAATACGTCAACTGATACGTCGTTTCCTTTATCGAGTACAGTTGTATCATTCAAGTCAAAGTTCTGTTCCATTACCACCTGATTATACGAATCAATTTAAAAATAACTTTGTACTGAATACATCAACAAATGCACAATCACGTTTCACTTCAGCTTTGAAATGTGCTAATACTTTTAGAAAAAATACTGAAAAATTGAATTTTCGGTGTTCCAATGATAATAATAATAATGTTAATAATAATAATAATACTAATCCTAGTACTAACAATCTGTTATTTGCTAATTTAGGATGTTTAAAAAGGCAGAATACTGATCAACTTACCACGAAACTGTCAGATGTTTCAAATGATTGCACAAAAATTGAAGGAATCGAAAATTTGTCAAATATCAAGCATAATAATAATGATGATCATGATGGTGATAGTGTTAATACCTTGAGTAATAAATATTCCAATAATTGTTTTCCCTTGGGATACCGGTGTTTCTGTAATCTATTTCCATGCACAGTAAAGTCAGGCAATAAAACTAGTGATTGTAGCAAAGTTATCACAGAAATATCACATTCTAACAATGAAGATAAATTGCAAAATAAGCATAATGATGGTGATAATGAAATTGATGTGAATAAACACTTCATACTTGGTTGTAATGGCTGTTTCACAGGATTTTGTTGTTGGAGATTTTGGTGGTATGGTTTAATGGCCGGTTGCATAAAACGTATACCGAACACAGTGATAACTAGACAAGAAAGTGATCAAAATCAATCGGTTCACATGTTTACAGGCTTATCAACTTCATCATCAGTATATGATACTTGTAATATGCATCGCCGACATTCAGAATATGCTTTGAATAACTTGACGCATAAATATTCTAAGCATTATCGATCAACTGAAAAATTTCGTGAACTAGAACCCAAGAGAAAATTTGAGTTAGACTTAGCTATTCAAAGAACATTCAGTACATCAATTAGTAGAAAACTCCATAAGTCATCAAAATTATATCATTTCGGGAGATCAGTTACTACAGCCAATACCACAGGTCATTCAAGTTGGGATTCAGAAACGATGTTTGAAAAAGACAAATCAGTAGATGAAAAGAACAGCCGCAGCCACAGTAACAGCAACAGTAACAACAACAACAACAATACTGACCCACTGTCAATTCAACCAATCATTCCAAAATGTTTCTGTTATATTTCATCACATGGAAATAGGAGATTTAATTACAATCTGTGTAAATACCATCAAGATTTCAGTTCATCATGTCGCCATCATCATAATCATAATCATAGGCAACAACAATATTCTCTACAGCATAATTCACATTTATACTTCCAACCACATTGTCATCATATATGCAAGCATAATTCGTTGCATAAATATCGTCTACCATCATCTTGTCATTCTGTCAATAGAGACATCATTGTAACCAGTGCATCAACGTCGATGACAAAACCTACATCAACAACAATTTCCATTACTAATAAAGATAAAAATATTACTATTAACGAAGACATTCCAACACAAAACCAAACATTAGTTTAAGTAAAGTAAGAAAGAGGTCGAGTGATGTAAACACGTAAGAATGCTTTTCACGAATGATACTAATAATAATGCTTATTACGAACATGTACCATGAGGAGTAAATTTGTTAAGCGTCCGCAAAACGAAAGGAGATGAATGGTACAGCCTACCACGTAGAAGAAGAAGAAGGCTAAGAATCGGAAATACAATTAACTGGTTGTTGATCATGTAAATAAATGTAAATAACATTTTTTATCAAGAATAAAATCAAGATGTGTTATGTATTCGAAATAAATTGTGATATAATTTGTTTACTATAAATGATTATGATAATTTTACTATCCGCACTTATCTTCTCACTTATCGTGGTAGATGAGATTGGATTCAGAGAAAGAGAGGAAATGAATGATGTCACATTTATACATGTGTTACCCGATAAACAATAGTGATGTGCACATTCGTCTATTAAGCAGTGACTTAAAAATCTCCATTGAGTCATATAAAAGAAAGGCGTTCAGCAAAGAGTTACGTCTTTCAGCGATGTTATTCTCAAGCTGTACAATCACATATATTTAGCAAATTATTTTAGCAGCGCAAAGAATGTTTCCAAAAATGTTTCATTGCAACTGTAAGTTTTAGAATAACAATTACGTAATACAGAAAGCGTTAATCGGGTAGAAACTGAAATGAAACTAAATAAGTAAATTGGATGACGTAATGTAATTGATGGGAGTGAAGAGAATTCAGCTGAGAAAAAAAGTTAAGATCGGTGTCATAAGGAGTAGAAATTTAATAGTGGGAAGGTGAATAGTCCCACTGAAAACTAAAAATTTAGGATCACAAAAATTCCATATCTAGTGTTAAAACAAATTGAGCCAGGATTTAACATTTGGACTGCCATCGGTTCTGAGGTTTGATGAAGCTTGATTTGAACTGTTTTCTCAAGGTTTCCATTTGCAGGGTATCTTTATTCGCCTTTGTAAAACCATTAGGGTAAGTGTTCGATAATACGACTGATTGGCAGAAGGTGAATACGGCCGGCATACTGAGCTCCACAGCAGCAGGCGAAGTGACAGATGTACACTAAATGGTCCAGTCGCAGTAGCTTATTCTTCACTCTCATACCACTCATTGGTTTCGTAGAGAAATTCAGTGGAAGTTCAGCTGCAGATAAGGTTTTCTTCAGTGACCGGAAGAGGTATTTGTGCTGATGAGTTTCCACTGAACTGTAGATCCAGGTAGAAAAGTTTTTTGAGAGTAAAAAGAGTTTGCAGTTTTAGTGATGTAGACCTCAAGGATTGTGTGAGTTACATTACGTCGTGAAATTTAATTTAATTTCAGCTTCTACCTGATTAACTCTTTCTGTCCTACATAACTGTTATCTGTAACTTACAAATCGAATGATGCATCCCCGGAAATATACTTTTAATTGCGAAGAAAATTTACTATTTAATACTGGGCTTCATTATATTCTATATATTCAAATTGCATTTTTAGTGTTAAATAAATACCGACAAATACATTGGTAAGTAAAAGTTAGCTCATTAGGTGTACCTACAGACGTAGGATAATTTGTACTGTTCTACATAATTGAACTATGAAGGTTTCTGAAACAATCAGAGTAGCGTTATAGGCTTATGTTAAGCGATGACTCACTATATAGTGCCGAAGTTATGTCATATGTAACTCTGACCTAACTAAACTCAGTACCATTTCTTATTTAAGCAGATTAACTATGGGAAAAGACAGTATATGAATTTGTAAACGAAAAGTGAATCCTTTAACTCTGGTTAACATGAGGTATATCACTTGTTATCTTCCAGAAACTGCTAAGTTTGATGATGTATTTTTTTAATGCCTAGCTGCAACAGAAATCTTTTGTTGAGGAGAGCATAAATCTCTGATGAGATAAACGTGCTGAAATGATTAAACTTCAATTTATCTGTTGATAAATCAAAACCTAAGGATTTCATTCTTAGTGTAGAAGTGATATCATGCGAAGAAGATACCAACAATTCACAGTGCACCGTAATGGCTAGCCACCTAGCATGGTGGCCACATTGCAAGCTTGACTGATAGAATTCAGTCTGCAGCGAAGATAGTACTAGACACATTACACTAGTTACTGACCAGTTTGCAATCACAAATATCCCATACAGTCCTTCAGGAGGTCAATCGCGAGCCTGAATAGCTCAGTAGTAACGTCTCTGACTGCAGTTCTCACTGACTGACGCAGGTTCGAATCTCAGAAGGAACATGAGTTCCTTCAAGGTTGCAGATACGCCTTGCTGATGAGTGCCAACTATCCCGAAACCTAGATCCAAGGCTTCCTGCCGATTTCCTCCAACCATTTAATACCAACAGATAAAACAGCTGCTGAGCAAGCCATAGCACAATGTGGATTAGTATTGAAACACCGGAATAAAGCAAAAGAACTTGTCACGGAAAGATATGTCAGCTTAAAACATTCTGATGCATAATATTTGCAAAATTAGAAAAGGATAATCCAACGACATTTATGGACAAATCAGATTATATCAATAAATTCAATGAACATATTGAAACAGGTTCATATGAGGAGATTAAAAGAAGGTGGTCATGAATAAGATCAAAAAATACACCGGATGTGGCATCTAGAATGAAGTCATTTTTGGGTGTTTAGAATGGTTTATGTTATTGCTTTGATTTAATAATTATGGTAGAATATATGGTACTGTTGAAATTCATAAAGTAGGACACCGAATTGGGCCAGTGATTGACATTAGGAACACCCCGACTTATGAGTCATTTAAGTATTTGGCATTAATATTATGTATCATCTTGAGGATGATTTGTGTTTAATGTCATACAAGCTAGAAGACTTACAGGCGAAAAACAACAAACTGGCTGAAGAGGCTAGCAGCGAAGACAGGACGCCAGGTGTATATACGAAAGACGGAGGAAGTGATGATAAGCAACAAACAGCAACAGCAACAGCGACAACAACCAACACCAATCACCATCAGCGGGAGAGATTTGGCAGAGGTTACCTCCTTCACTTATCTGGGAAGCATCGTTTCAACTACAGGTGGAACGGATGAAGATGCGAAGCAAGCCAGAATCGGAAAGGCGAGATACGCCTTCGTCGACCTGAAACCAACCAGCCAGTATAAAGGACAAGAATTGGGATTTCCAACACCATTGTCAAGTCGGTTTTCTGTATGGGTCGAAAAATTGAGCTGCGTGTCACGAAAAGTATTCTCAGCAAGTTACAGACTTTTGTCAGCAGCTGCCTTCGTTAGTTTTATACTGATGATCAAATGGCCGGCCAGAAAAAAACAACAGTAAGAAACTCTCACAAACAAAGAGCCGATTGCTCAACGAAAATGTGGGAGAAAATGGAAATGGATAGGGCATACAGTAAACAGACCGTCGAATGTCATCGCGTGACAGGGTCTCGAGTGGAATCCAAATGGGAAGCTATAATTCGGTCGTTGGTGAGAGGTTGACATGGAAGAGATCGTGTAGCAAGGAGGAGATGAGAGATTATGGTTAATCGTGCACCCAGCTGATGAGGAGAGCAGAAGATAGGACAAAGTGGAGATGTGCTGTTGAAGCCCTATGTTCCACTCGGAACCCAAGGGAACAATAATAATAATAAAATTATTTCCCATTAGACGTCGGTCAGCTTCTAGACTAACTAATTCATGCTTAGTGAGACGTAAGCTAGTTGGAGTTCAAGTAGAAAAGGATGAAAACAAATGATTAATTTTAATGTTATAAGTTTTATACTTCAATATCCCAATTAATTCAAAGATGGAGGCAGTTAGGAATGAACTCGATATTGATCCTGAACTCACAAACAGAACAAAACCCTTGGTTGATGAAATAACACTAGGTGTAGAGTTATGCCTAACCTCCACTGTATAATAGAAATATTTTATTGACATAATTAAAGGTTATAGGACTGATGATTAGCATCCTTTATAGTGAGCATAAACCTTACCTAGTTAACTAGTTTGTTAGTTTTCTAGCCGGTCTGAAGCCCGGGTAAAAAGTGAGAGTTGGGTGTAGGGCTAGCATTCCTACACCACTAAACCTATCAAACTGCTAGAGAAACTTCAACACACAAAAATATAGTAAAAATACCAAAACTTCAAATCAAAATCTTATTCTTCTCTCGAATCGGAGAGGCGAAATGACACAGGGGGCTGATGAAAGCCTTCGGGAAGCCAGTCAGCCAGCCGATGTGTCTTCTCTCAATGAAAGCAAGAATAAGAATGGGGACGTGGAATGTCCGTACAATGTACGAGACTGGAAAGGCTGCCCAAGTAGCCAACGAAATGCGAAGATATTTGCACAGAAGTGCTGAGTATCTGCGAGAGTCAGTAATCTTCTTAGGTCTTGTCACCCAGACGATAGCTACAAACATGCTAGGCACTGAGTTCCTATACTGATGTCACCAGTGGCAGCCGAAGCTCTAACGCAGTGGGAACCAATCTTATCCAGGATCATGACGGCAAGATTCAACTCAAATGGCAGGAAGGAAGGTCACAATTATCCAATGCTACGCACAGTGCTACAAATAACGCGGAACAAGAAAAGAAGGAGGATTTTTACAGACAACTACAAACAGTAATGGAAACATTCCAAATGGTGACATCAAAATTCTCATGGGTGATGTGAATGCCCAACTGGGACCTGATAATACAGGAAAAGAACTGATCATTGGTGGAGAGGCTCTCGTTCGGCAAATAAATGAGAACGGAGAAATATTCTCAGACTTCTGCACTTTCAATGATTTGGTAATTGGAGGCAGCCTGTACAAGCACAAGGATATACATAAAGCAATATGGATTACGCCTGATGGACATACCACAAACCAGATGGAAACATTTATTTCCCGATACGAACTTAAAACAAGCAATAAAGATTAATAAAGCAGGATTTATTGAATTCATCAAATTTCGGTAGAACTCGTCAGCTGAATACTCTACATACACGGATATATATACTTTTGAAATTACATTGGGAGATATAGGACTGATAAGTAAACAAACCACATTGAATTAGTCATGCAGAAAGACAGGTGCGAATGTTTTTCCAGGTCATGTTCAAATAGATAAGGGGAGAGAGAGTATGAGAGATCAAAATTAAGATGAATTGCATTACGCTTCAATTACATCACTTAGATAAACAATTAGACATTAGAGAATATAACAAGAATTGCAACCAGAGGGATGTCAATAGTAATAGTTATAATAACAATAATAATAATAGTGTTGAAGTGAGTT